CATACCAGATGTCCCTACTCGGCGTGGTGGCGGCTTCGTTGGCATCATCTTTGTCCTTGAGAGTTGTGGTTTAAGTGGTGGTTTTGTGACTGGCTTGGTGTCTAGAATCGAGAGAGAGAGAACTATGAAGTCGCTTTATTTTGAAATCATAGGTTCAAATTTTTCAGCAAAAAAATGGCTTCATTCACTACGGACAGTAAATAAGCTAATAGACTATTCAAGAGTCAACGTTTAACACAAAAGAAGCGATTTTTATAAGGATAGTTCAAGTCTTAGCTTCTGTATTTCTATCTCTTCGCACGTAAGATAGCGGGCCAGGAATGGCGATGCAGAAGCTTGAAAAGCCGATGCGCGACATGACATAAGTCGGAAGCTGCGGCGCATCGGGCAGGAAGACCTCGCAGAAATAAGATCACAATGTAAGGGATGGGCAACGTCATCTATAATCCGACCAGCAAATTGCTTGACCGTTTTGAAATGTCGTTGTAGGATAGTGTCGACTAAAAAAAGATAAGAAACACCAGCAGCAGAAGAGAGCATCCGGAGAACTCGTTTCAAAATTAAAAGATCCTTTTTATGCAAGGCAGGCAAAATGACATCGGAAAGCATTAGATTTTAAACGCCAGCGATTTAGTCAGCCCTTCGGCCGGTTTAGGCTTAGTTTCAGGTCGTGTTCTTCTGCTGAATTCTTAATGCTTTTTCACAAATTCCTGTCGTTAGCGACCTGGGCAGTTTCATATCCTGGATTCCTAGCACAGACATCGATGTATGTCATGAATAACGCGGGACCCAAAACTGAAGTCCCTGTTACTCTGCTGACCACGGTTATCTTTGGCGACTGGTGACGCTCGACGTACATTCTTTGAGACCGTTTAGAGAGAAACTTCTGGATCCATAGAAGGCCGTTTTCCAGAACTCAGACATTGTGAAGCTTGTGTTGGAGGCTTTGGCGTGAAACGCCGCTAAAGGCCATTTAGATGTCGATGCAGACGGCAAGCGCCAAACTGCTTTTGCCGCGTTCTTTGTTTTTTTTACAGTTTGAGTGAAACAGCAGATTCATTAGGCAGCAACTACCACTTCGAAGGACGGTGCTGAATATCGAAGAAGTGTTTCTGTGTTTGAAGGGCGCTCACAGATCGTGGTACAGAACGCACTCGTGCCGCTGTTCCTTGGGGCTCTCTTCCAAGTCCAACTAGCAGCCACACATCGGCGCGTACCACAGACAGAATAACATTACCGACAAAGGCAAGCGTGATAAGTTCTCCGAATGCTATCTACTGCTGCTGGTCAAGCGGTCAAGCAATTCACTAATCGCATCCTAGATGATATTTTCTCGTCCAATGCTCCGGAATTTTCGACGTATCTCTTGTCGTACATTGGCATATCAGCATTCTGTATTGTCATTTCTGATAGGATACCTTACGTGTAAGGAAAATGAAGTGCAGTGATTAAGACTGGAGCGGTACCCTTATGCAAACTCATTTGCTCTTGCATCACTTATAAATGTACTCAAAGTGAATGGGATTATTTCTATTGAAAATGTTGAGTGGCACTTTCAAAATGAAGCGTATTTTTATTTCTCTAAGTAAGTGATGCACAAATTGCCTTCACTTCCGTTCCAAAGAATCTGAGTCCAATTTTGCTAAAGCTATTAAATTTTCAGAATCGCAGTTGTCTTCCTTTCAATTTCCTATCAAATAGCGGACAGGAAGTATAAAGTGGTTCGTAGGTCGCCAGAATTCGACTACAGCCTGAGGGCCAGAAGTTCTTACTTGTTGGGGAAGCTGGGAAAAATATGGCGTCAAGTAAGGAGTATGGTTTGAGAGGAAAAAATGCGATCACTGGAATAAAAGGTTTGTCGATCTGGTGGTTCAGATTGTCACTCGAGGTCCAGTTAAGATTTTCATGTCTGCGATCAATCAACAAGCGTAATGATCTTCGGTGCTGAGGCACAGTGAAAGCGGAGGAGAGCACTAATCCCGGAGTCGGGGACTTGGACACGGACTGGCGAATCATCGACGCATCAATTACAACCCCCAGCGGTGAGAGCGAGAGCCGCTGATTATTGTATGCATGTAGTTCCAAGGCGTCTACGTACAGTAGGTAGGCTTACTCATGAAATGTCAACCGAAATTCCGAAACGCGTTTTCGTTTCAAAAATATTAATTAAGTACAGTTTTAAAACTAATCAGTCTACAGCATAATTCTATAATGATTCAGTTACCTCAGGATGCCGGCTTTCGAACGAACTTTCTTCCGGTTGCATGCAAAAACGACACTGTGAAAAATCACTACTTAAGTAACATGAATGTTTCTCATTGATTTTCCACGCCTCTAAAGGTCCAATAATATTTAATGAAAAACACGCATTAAAATATTCATTCTTTTCCCTATTCGGTAGAAAATTACGTCTCCTTCCAATTTTATATTCAAAATAAGGGTAATTTTCGGTTTTAAAAAACTTTACCAAATTCCGAATACTTTTGAACCCGCGTAAAGCTAGACAGATTAGGGACTCTAATAGATGAACTAGTCTTCGGCCGCAGTTCAACAAACTAGACCACTTTCAAAATAATGCTGCCGAAGGCAGACGAAAGAAATGCAAATGTTTTCTGCGAAACGGGACCCAACGTTTCCCTTCCCTCAAAACTCCCAGCAGTCTGCTCTATAACTAGCCCGCTGCGGTCATCTGTGCCTTTCTATTTCACAGAAGATGTGCTCCTGCTCTACGTATTCCTTTTGGCAGTTTCACGGATATTAAACGCCTCAGATGTAGGGATTGAAGGAACGCGAGGACTGGTCCTCGAAGTTACGGCGGAGATTGGATTGTTCGAGTTGCCGCATGACGAGAGGACGAAAACCCATCCAGGATTACAATCGATAACTGGTCTTGCAAATAAGTATTTTTTAATTTTCTTCACCTTCCAAATTCACAAATGACGAAGTTAGGTCATCCTTCTATGCCGGTCAGCAAGATTGAACCTAACGTCAAAGTTTTGATCGCATGCCTACTTCACTCTCGGCCGTCCAGAAAGCAATATCAACAGAGGCAGATATTTGTGTGAAATGTAGGGAGTTGAACCCCAAGTCTAGTAGTGAAATCTTAAATTTGAAAAGTGTGACCTATTCGGACAAATGCCTAACGACAATCTTGCATCTCCTTTGACTGGACTAAGGACCGGTACCAATAAAGATGGCAATTTGTCCAAAGAAATGTACTTCCTCATGAAATTTTGACCGAAATCCTGAAATATGTTTTCCATTGGAAAATATCACTTAACTAGGGTCACGAAATTAATCACTACGTAATATTATCCTGTCATACTTCAGTTGCACCAGGCTGGTGGCTCTTGAATGAGCTTCCCTTTTAGGCGTCTGAAAAAAATTACACTTTGTAACAATAGCTACTTATATGGCATAGATTTTTCTCATTGACTCTAGATACCCTTACAAGTTAAAATGCGTTGTATAGAAAACACGCAAAAAAGTTCATCTGCACTTTTTGGCAAAAATTTCGTCTTCCTCAAGTTTTCTACCTACAAAAGTATTTTTAGGTTTTAATGAGCTTTTCGTTTCCCGAACAACTTTTATTCCACCTGTCGTTGCACTAGCATTCAGCGTTTCACAACTACATGGTGTATGCCTTTTGTTGAAGGATTAACACAAACTTCCCTATGCTCTTAGGTAGATTACACATAGGACTCATATAATTACCCAATGGGCATATATCAGATAGCAAGTTTTATAAAAAACTTTAATAAACTATTCTTTGTGATGCTGTATGAATGGACATTTTATGGTCTTAAAAAATGATATTTATGGACTTTTTGGAACCGAAAGCTACCTTTACGTTAAGTAGAAAATTTCAAGATGAGATTTGTTTTTAAATAAGCGCAATAGAGAATAATTTCTAATATGCCTTCAGTGTAATATGTTTGAATTTACAAAGATATCGAAAGTAAGTGAGAGGGATTCCTGCAATATTAGTAACCATTTTTACATAGTGTAGATTTTGCACCTTTTAAAAAGCCGGCACATCGGCGTAGCCGAAATATCATATGATTTTGTTACATGCTAACTGTTACCACAATCCTGACTGCGTAATCTTTTCGGATCGAAAGCATATTTCAGATTTTCGGCCAAAATTGCATGTACATGGGTGACTATTGGAGGCGGCTGGCTTGATAAGAGTCAATTAAATGTAGTTCACTCTAAAACGAACGACTGTTTGGGGAATAAAGTGATTGGCAAAGCACCGTCCTCCTTTTTTCTAACCACTGTCATATGGCCCCCACATAACTCATCATTCGGGCATGTTTCCTCCTCGAACTGCACAGTCCTCGTCAGGCATCCCACCAATGGCACGTTTGTCTCGCGCCACAAGCTCCACCCTCTCTCCGCGAGGTGGTTACAATACTAACTGACACATGCCCTTGTCAAACGTTGCGGTGGATTTGCGTTGCATCTTACTCACCCACTCTCTCCGCATTTATAATCGTCCAATTATAAGGCGGTGATCGCTCAGAAGGCAGACGTCACGCGTAGTCTCATTACCTGTGCTGGCCTCTAACTCCACGCTATACAGTCTTCAGTTAGGGAGGTTTTAGTCCAATGCCAAAGTCGCGTAGCCCGCTTGAAGGACCTAAGCATCCTTCAGAGATTTTATTCCCTGGCGCCACCAGATGAATGATCGGGATGACTCATCCACATTTGTTGAACGGTTTTGATGTCTTGCAAACACAGGCATTTGTGGATCCCAGCCGCGAGATATGTCTGGGAAGTTCGCTGCAAACAAACGATGTAGAACGTATAGCAATAATCAGGTTTTAATCAAAAATCCTTTTATTTCCCGGCCTATATCATGTCTTATAATCAAAATGTGTCATTAAAATGTAATTTTAAAGGAGTCAAAATATAAAAATGTTCATTTCTCAGCTGTACACTGAGACGGGAAAAAATCAAGCCATGACAGATTGCCTCTCTGCGGAGGGAATATCCGTTTAACGAAAAGTCCAGGACAGCTGCGTTCTGCTGGTCAAGCGGTCATTTGGACGACCTGCCACCAGCAGTGATCGTGTTGCGGCGTCATAGGAGAATTCACAGCGTTGGCGGTTGAAGAATACCGTCTTTGGGGGCTTTGATATGCCCACGATCTTAATGAAGGCCAGCGGTACCTCCGGGTGCAAGAGCTTGTCTCCAGGCTGCAACTGAACCACTCTTGCCCGAATGGTTAACGTTCTTTGTACCACGGTGAAGGTCACATGCGTGTAGGCCTGATCCTCCGTGACGCCGTCATCCCAGAAGAGCTCTCCCCACGCGACGGCTGTATATCTGGTCGCCGTAGAACCATTGTCCTCCACCCTCAGGACAGCCAAAACACCAATTCCCTTATCGCGTGCCTGATTAATCGTCTGTGCAGGCAAATGCATTGGCAATACACAGCCTGCCTTAACATGAAGAGGAATCTGTTCCAATGGCGCCTCAAAGTAGAACCATTGGCCTTTGCTTTTGTGTCGTACATGATCATTCAGCCCAACCCATTGACCCTCCGGAAGGTAGCCGTAAACGCTTCTTGCGCCCTTCGTTAGGACGGGCGTAATTAGGAGACAGGATCCCCAGAGAAATTGTTTATCGATCGAATGACAGCTCAGGTCGTGGGGGTATTCGAGGGCTAGAGCGCGCGCAACAGTCTTCCCGTCCAGTTTTGCCCTGTAGAACAGGCTGTACAGATAGGGTAGCAGACGATAGCGGAGCTCGATAGCCCCCCGAATAATGTCCACAGTCGCACCCTTCCAGCTGGCCGGGTCCTGATCATTAGTACCAGCGGCATTATGATTCCTTGAGAAGGGATAAAAAGCACCCAGCTGACTCCACCGGATGCACAGCTCTTCCGTGGTGTTTCCCATGAAACCGCAAATATCTGCGCCCACCATGGGTATTCCGAAAATATTGAAGTTCACCATCTGCGGAATGGAGGCAGCGAGGTCAGCCCAGGTTGCGGAATTGTCTCCCGTCCAATGGAAAGTGTAGCGGCCGGATCCAGCAAATGTTGACCGGCTGAGTACGAACGGGCGTTGTCCAGGCAATAGACGTTGGAGAACTGTCCGTGTCGCTTTGGCCTGCATGTAACCGTAGAGGTTGTGCAGGTCATAGTGGGTCCCGTTTTCATGCAGGGCAGAGGGACAGATAGTCTTTGAGTAGAGGAAATCTCCGAGGATTGGCGGCATGTAGGGTGGGTGGTCCAGCTGACTGTCCGGGATGCATCCATCGAGGGAGCCGTCAACAAAATTTGAGGGCTCATTCATGTCGATCCAAAGCCCATCAAAGGGAACTTCCTCGTAGAACTTAGAGGCAGAGTCGTAGACCCATTCGACTGTTTCCTGCTTAGCGTAGTCTGGAAAAACTACGGTGCCGGGCCACAAACTTCCCTGAATTGGAGCGCCGGTTCGGCTGTCATTAATGTACACTCCTCTATGTAGGCCATCCAAGTAGACCTCGTAATCAGAGTCCGGACTGGCTTCAATAGCTGCATCGAACATGAGCACAGTACGCATATCGTTCTGCGCATGAATCGTCTCTTTTACAAACTTGCCAAAGTCTGCAAACCGCACAGGATCTACGGTCCAGTCCTTGTTACCGTCCATGAAATCTATGTCGACCCAGAGGACCTCCAGGGGCACACCGGCGTCTCTGTTCCTGGACACTGTCGCCTCCACTTCTGCCAAGTCACGGAAGGCATAACGGCAGAGATGGAATCCGAGGGCCCAGTAGGGTGGCAAGGGAGGGCGTCCGACGAGGTCTAGGTACTGCGCAATGACGTCCTGCGGTTTTGGGCCGACAAAAATGAAGAAGTCGAGGATACCGCCAATCGTGCGGTAAGTGAGTGATGGCAGGGGTTGGATTGCGACCTCTTGGGCATTTGAATTGAGCAAGAAGATGCCGAATGCAGTTCCATCGACTGCCAAACCGAGGAAGAAGTTGTGCACACCGTAGAGATTAGCGTTCTCCACGGGCGGCTGATCTCGAACCCACATAGCCGTCCTCTCCCATCTGTCAAGGTGAAGCGGAAATTCGGTTCTCCGTTCACCCGGCCCGAAACCGCGTTGGGCATCGATCTTAAAGGCGATCTGCCAAAACTGATTGCTTGCTATCAGACTACTAGCCAGGAGACCCGTGGAGTCGATGAGCAGCTTGTCTTCCCCCCTCACCCCCATTTTTCTATAAATTTTGAAGCCAAAAGGCTCGGCGTCGTAGCTCACCCGGTAGTTGACGGCATCCTGCGAAGGAAAGGCTGTTGGCGGATTAATATCAACGGGCGGCTCCCACCTAGCGACTTGTGGATCGGTGATGCGTAGACGCAGACGTCTGGCCGTCTCGTAAATGAAATCCACTCTCATCTCGGTCAGCTCACTGTCGAAGTGGAAGTTTGTGGGCTGCTTCTGTAGATGGAATGTGTAGTGTCCAGCTGCCGAGGAAGTGTTCACGACAGAGTAGGCAGGGTACTCGACCGGAAAATAGCAAGAACCAATGTCTGGATCGTCGGATACCTCCCAACAACAACCGCGTGATAGGCAGGCTTCCTCGGTCGGTGCCGGTTGTGGGAAGCAATCCATGCGTGATAGTACTGGAACGGAGTTGCACTCATTTGACTGGCCAGAAACAGAGGTTAGTATGCCCAGCAGGGCACAAAATACTTGCTCTGGCACGCCCATTTCTGCTGCATGTCTAAACAGCGCAACACCGCCTTAAAATAACCGCTTTTTGGCGGTTAACCAATCGGCAACCAGTCGCAGTTATGAGCCGAGGTCAGGTTAACGCCCATTGGCTGCATTCGAGTAGTGGGTGTACCTTATCAACGCTTTGCACTCACGGTCTGAGTTTGATAACAGTGAGTAAAACAAATGTGGGTAGGGGATTGTAGCCTGGACATATGAAAGAAAAGGACCGCGACTATTCATCGCGGGCACTAATTAGTGTATGGGGTGCCCCAACCTACATGCTTAAGAGCAACTGCCTACGTAGCTAAAAGAATGCGATTTAGACAAAATTTTCGTGACTAGTGAAACTTGGGCGTATTAAACATGAAATAATAAGTCCCAGACGAACTTTTACATCCTCCAAATAACTGCTTTCTCTACGACTGAATGCCGTTTGACTCCATTCGATAGTTATCTAACCAGAAGTGGTTTATTGAGATACGATAATGAAGTCAAGTGAGATTTGGCCGTCGTAGGTAGGCCCCGCAATCATGCGTTTGTATGACCGAGTTGATTGCCCGTCAACAGTTTATTGCCCGATCAATTTCTTTCCGCACACGGGATGTGATGTAGCGACGACGGGGTCTATGAAAAACTCGGCGCCTCGGTGGGATATGAACCCACGCAGTAAGGTGAAGGCTTTAGTATAGCCAACGCTCTAACCACTTGAGCTACGAGGTCCCGCCGGACGACGCAAGTTTAATCACATTTGGGTCAAGGTACCCGCCCAACCTACTGAACGTCTGGAATCCACCAGTTGGGGCAATATGAATTATTCAAAATCTGCCAAAATATCTATGAATTACGTTAGCCTAGTAGTCAGCTGGTGGATTCTAGGTGAATTACTTAGAAAATCTTGCCTGGAAAGTCAACTTACTGTATCAGATTTGGTGGATTTCAGACATTGCAGTAGGTAGGGCGGATAACTTGACCCAAATGTGATTAAACTCGTATCGTCCGACGGGGCCTCGTAGCCCAAGTGGTTAGAGCGTTGACTGTACTAGAGCCTTTCCCTTACTGCATGGGTTCGAATCCCACTGAGGCGCCGAGTTTTTCACAGTTGGTTCAGTGTGAAGGGGTCTGCCGCGTTAAGTCATATTCTTGATCGCAGCCAATCCTCCCACGACTTAATGGTCGCGCATCTATGTCGGTGAGCAACAAATAATGCGTTTGGATTCTGACCATTGGTTGTCTAGACCTGGGGCTGAGTTAGGTCTGACTAATGATGATGACTGCTCAACCAGAAATTGTCTTCTTAGTTCCTCTCTGAGTGCACCAGTCTCTACGTATTGTTAATATATTTGATTGCAGCTGATTGGCTACCGATACCCTGGCTCAGTTGTTAGGGACTGGTCCTCAGTGAAAGAAAAGCTCTGGGGTTGGGTATATCTGGCCGATGACGGTTAGTGGGACAAGAAAGTCTATGTGAGTCTCCCTTGTCCGTACCGGTAATGTTATTTTGCCCGCATATACATATATATGCGTAGGTATGACTGGCTGACTACAGCCAATAAGCCAGAAATGGCCATTCCAGTCTCCCTTGTCTTTGTCGGCAATACCACTCTGCCTACAGATGTATATATACATTGAATAAGATGGTAAGGTGAGATCTGGGGATGGTGATTTATTCCTCTGACGATTCACGCTCATACTCGAGCGAATCATTTGAGATAGAAAATGTGAGAACTGCATGGTTTAAATAGGTCCCTCTTGCTCGGTCGAGCAAGAAGCAGACTGGCAAGATAAATAGTTGAGGTCTTGCAAACAGACGCCAACTCCATCAACCGCAACGCCGACCTACGAGCACCATTCGAGGTCGCCAAAAACCAAGTTCGCACCAGGGGACACTCAATGAAGATAGCAATTGATGGCCCTATCAGGGGTAAGCGAGAGGAACCTATTTAAACCGTACAGTTCTCCTATTTCCTATCTCCGATGATGCGCTCGAGTAGGAGTGTGAAACGTCAGATGAATAAATCATCATTCCCAGAGCTCAGTCTCAACACTAAGGGTCAGCATTTTCGTCTATATCCACGTATCTATATTGTTATGTGAAGGCACAAGAGGGTGAAATTATCTAGTACCGGGATGAACCACACGATATATCCTGCCTGACCGTGGTTCACAAAGAATGCTAAAGTTGATCGAAGCCTCGGTCACTAAGTGTCAGTTGTGTCCCTCCATCACGTTGAAGCTGGTTGCGGTTTCTTCCTTCGAGACTTCGTATGCACCTACCGATGCGTACGTTACGTGGGTGCACTATCTCTGGGAGTTCATGGTTTCACCTTATTGGTAAAGCGTCAAAAATGCGAGTGTAGTTTCACTTGGGCTAGGCCTAATGTCAAGTGCATGGCCACCTGGAAAAGGTTTTCTGGTCTCCTCGCCGCTGATTACTGTTCATGCATACGTGTTGAGGCAGACTTCTCAATTTGACTTCTGTAGACGGTAACACAAATGACGCATGGAATTTGTAGGCAACACTTTTTACGTCAAGGTAGCTCGCCCTGTCCTCAGGGGATATGATCTGTGTGCGTCAGCCACGTACCTCACTGGTTAAGCGTCAAACTTTCGAACGCTGGACAAACTAAGAACGCAGGTTCGAATCCCAGATCCCGCTGAACATGGGATGTGCATATCAGGGAGTAGCAGTACTTTACTTAACTTTTCACACTGTCTTTCTTTTAACACATGCAGCTCGCGACGACCAAATTTCTGTTTGCACCCTTGTGTAGGCGGAAGGGTAGTGATTTGGTTTATTCTTAGACCTAGAGACTCCAAGCTCGGGTTATGACTTGAATTTTTGGTCAAGTTTAGGGTTTAGTTCTAGGATTGGGGGTTGGGTTTTAAGATTTCGATTGCGGTTACAACCACGTATGAGGATTTCTTAGTCTTACGAGTTAAGGGTTAGGGCTACCTATTGCAGACATGGCCTCTGATGACGTAAATGGTGTAGTTGACTACATTTACCCCACGTTAGTCGGACATGTCTCTTGACGACCAGGCGGTAGATACTTTTGAAGAGCGTCTGCAATAACCAACACATTTGGTCCGAGCCAGGCTTATTCCTACCTCACTAATGGACCTTAAAATTATTTGTCTCCCTACAGGAACCTCTCTTTTTCTACTCACGATAACTGTACCGCTCCGCCTCGTTCTCTGAGGCTTGCTGCAAACTCTCCCTCGAGCGTGTGGCAAAGACCTGGTTGGGCATATTCCTTCGGCGTGCATCTCTTCCGTTGTCTTAACGTCCAATTGCGAATCAAGCTCTATACCACTGCAACCAAGATCACTGGGAATTCGAAATTCGCGGTCACAAATTCGGCATAGAGAAACCTATTTCTATACCAAGACATAGGTAATGGCGGTGCGGTACATGTGTAGCGGGCAGCCATTGTGACCGGTCTGGCGTCATTGTTCAAGAGCTCGCTGCCTGAAGGTCATCCACCCCTTTGCGGTGAGCCCTCACAGACACGCTGATCTAAAGTCCCAGCTCGGGCACACCTGCGTCCGCACAGCCATAGCTGCGTATGCGGCCCCACCCCCTGCAACCAGAAAAACAAGCCCCTGGAACACCACCCCTCGGCAAATGCAACACACACTGACTGGACACCACTTGAGCTTGGCCCGCGAGCCTACAAAAACGGATGCCGCCACTGTCCCAAGGACTCTCAGGCATGAATGGACGCAGTCAACACCAGCTCTGGCTTCGCCAGTGGCCACTGCCGTCTGAGAGGACAACTCCGGGTTCTGTGCACAATAAACCCCTCAAATTAGTACCTTCCGTCTGCTCCCTGCAACACTAGGATTTGCCCTGATGATAGTAGCGTTCTGAATTCGGGGACACACTCACACCGCTTGGTCACAACATATGAAAGCTGAGTGTTCCGAATTAGTTGCCAGAGTCTCTGTACTGAAGGTCTTCTAATGCAAGACTCAGGGGTCTTGGGAGTTCCAGTCGGTTCGGCTTGTTGCGTTATATGCATGGCGTGAACCTTCTGACAAACCAATTTGACTTTTCTTCAAGGAATTGGTTGGGCGCTATTAATTGGGCTTGTAGCATGTCCGATGAGGCGACTTTAAGTGGACGTATCGAATCAATTCGAGCTTTCGAGGGCGTGTGCTCTGCCATTAGCGAACACGGTTAACTTATTGACAATCAGTCTGTTAGACTTGAATGCACATTCTGGATGTTTGTTGCCAGCGCGTGAGTTCCTAAGGACTATTTGATCCGTTTACGTCGAATGCTACTGCTTTTAGCAATCCGTCAACTCTACCCTGAAAATTAATCATATCCTACGCTAAAAAGGTGTTCATGTTTGGACAGATGGCCGGTGTACGACGTAGATGAGCGGCTAAAGGTTCACACGGAAATAACCGTTGATCTCTAACAGGCCTATATTTTAATATGTACACATTTGGATAAACATTTAAACAGCCCTTAGAACAGTCACAGACATTGTAGGGTCTAGAAACAATAATAGAAGGTCAAAGGTTTGCCGATGCATGTTTCACAAGGATTACGATGTTCACAAGCGTACTCGGGTCATCTAAAAACACGTCATATTGTCAGTCGGGGGCAGAGGCCACTATCAAGGCAACAAAAACCAAAAATTTACCAGTTGCAGTCGAGTCTACTGAACAGTGTCTACTCATGAAGCGTCTATCCTGATGGCATTAGAGATCGACCGCTTAATACCACCGATCGAACCCCCTAAAGTGTAAACAAACAATGACGTATGGTCAGCGACCGATCTCATGAAACGTTAGCTACAATTCTGAAATGAGTTTACGATCAGGAAGGATTACTTAGGCGCGGTCGTAATACTGAATACCTTGCAGCATAATCCTATAGTATTTCGGACGTGGCGGGATGTCAACCTCTGAATGCAGTGCTTTTCAATCTCATGTAGAAACCTCACCCGGGAAAAATGATTACTTAGTTTGCACGAATTTTT